TGGTAGAATGTGGGAATCCCCAGTGTGACGCGCTCATGAGACGCCTACTGCCTACGCCAGACACCTTAAGTCAAGGACCTAGTACCAATCCTACAGTAAACACTTGTGACTGGCAGCCAGGCATCGAGGTGGTCGATCAAAGCCCTTATGAGGACATGATGCTCGGCAGAGGCTTCGTAGTAGCACCTGGGCCTCGAAGCAGGATCAAGCTCTGCGTGCTAGCAGCTGTACAGCGCAACGTGTCTGGGAAGGGGCTGGGAGTAAAAGGGCGGCAAGACAGCCACAAAGAGGAGTAACAGCAAGTTTGGCGTCGCACCTTGCCTTGCATAGCATGCAAGGTCTCCCAAGTCTATCAGGAAATTTAGGATGGGCAGCAGCTCCTGAGGCTCTTCCTCCGCAGTCTCGTAGCAATTGGTTGCCATGAAAAACACGGCGCTGACATGGTCGAAAAGCGCTCTGCCCATGTCCAAGTGCGCTGCGCTGGATTGTCGGCACTGTTCCGGCCGATCTGCAACGCTCGGTGGACATGGCTTGCGCACGTAGACATCCTTCCAGCTTCTGGGCAGGTGGAATGTGATCACCTCTCTGCAGAAAGTCCAAAAGCCACAACTACAGCGTGGTGCAGAAGAGCACAGGAGCAAGATAAAATCAACTTCTTCTGTGGTAGGGGTCCTGGCTTCTTGCGCAAATGAAGGCAAGACATCCGGTCGTCAATCGGACCGCAAGCATGTCAGCCCATCATGGCATCCACCGAAGGCATCGAGGATTGAAATTACAGTTTCACTTACAAGATTTACAACACACTCGTCGGGAAATTCTGCAACGAACGGGACAATTGCACAAGGGAGTGGGCTAACCGGTGTTTTCGTGGATACAACTCACTACTTCGAAAACGCAACGCTCAAGGATAGTGCTGGAGCCAACACGTGTCGCAGGCGCGGGCCACGCAGTGCACGCTGTGCTCTTTCACTCCCACGTATTGCTGTTCCAAACTCCAAGAATTGCAGTACCCCCCCATTCAGGCCTATGCGTCTTTAAGGGGTCCTTGTTGATCCCTTCACTAAACCTAGGCAACTTGATTATCAAAGACTTTACAACTTACTAATAGCTCTAAACACATGCCTGACAACATCCCAAGCTAAGAGCATTCCACATGCATCCCATGCCTTCACATTGCCGCGAGAGTCGAAGCCGTCCAACTGGTTGACGATTTCAAGCATTGTTCTCTGCACCTGGACAGCGGCCATGCTTGGGCGCATTGCATAAGTTAGCGCAGTGTGATGCTGATTTCGCCAAACAACGTTGCGCTCGCCTCGCTATCGCTGTTGCCCTCATCTCCGCCACGGGAGCCGCCGATCGCATCCACCTCATCGATGAAAAGGATGCAGGCCTTCTTGGTCCTGGCATGTGTACAGCTCGCGGCCCATCAGCGAGTTGCTTCTTCGCTCTTCACCAAGCCCTTATCATTCTCTGCTTGGCAAGACCAAATCATGAATACATGGCTTTAGTGATTTATCCCAGTGCACCTCAGTCCTGGCAAGCTGGAAGAGCTCGCGCACCATCCGTGCGCCTTCACCGACGTAGCGTTGCACTAGCTCGGAGCCAATGACGCAAATAAAGCACGCATCTGTGCCTCAGCAGCATTGAAAGACTTATCATGTCAGCTGCAGCACATGCATGCCGCTCTAGACTCTAGCAGCTCCAGCATGCTGGAGCTAGCACTGCTCGCCATGGTGGCCACAGACCACGTCGGAGCATTCTGCCCGAAACTAAGGTATCAGCGGTTTGCCACAGCGCGAGCTGTCAAAGTTTTTCCCGTGCCAGGAGGTCCGTAGAGCAGGACGCCCTGGCAACACCACATGCTTCTGACAGGAAAGCCCGCGCGGGCCTACCTTGCAATGATAAACTTGCCTTTGGCGGGTCGATGCCCAAAGCGACAAAGCGCTCGGGCTGAAGCAGCGGCATCTCAACCACCTTCCGGACCCAGTGATTGGCGCAAACGCTGTAGAAGCGGAACGCAAAGTCTGCTGCACGTTTCCGAGCTCAACTGATTGCCTTCTTGTCTACTTTGAAGATATGACCTGACCCTCCAAACTCCAATTCAAGGCATCCTTTGATCTATGCCAGCTGCAAAACATGCTTTGCTACCAAAGGCCTGCAGGCCGTGCCCTCATTCCCAACACATCCGCCCCAAGAAGCAATGAGAGAATAAACCTGCGACGTTCTCCCCGACCTAGAAGTGCTCCAGCGTTTTATCTCCGATCCACTTGGGGAACATGTCCAAGCCTCTCGCAACCGCTCCAGCTGTTCTTTGGCACCGCCCACATCGTTGTATGTAACATCCGGCTTCTCCTAGCGAAGCAAGAGCCATTCAAAATTGGATCGCTCCCTCCGAGCCGCGCAAAAATGTTGCCTGCTGAGTTCTGTGTGCTGGAATCCAGGATGAAAACGTTTAATGTTGCAGTTCCACTTGAGTATGTCTGCACGGAAGGCTCTTGGCGAAAGCTTGAGGGGACCCTGTCCTCGACGGTCATCATTGTAACGGATGGGTCAATTTTGGGCGGTAGCGGGATCTGAATTCTGTACCTTAATTGCAGGACTTTCACTGTCAGTACCCGGTACAAGAAAGAGCCATAGGGAAGGCACTGCTCCTGGTGATGCGGCCCGAGACGCTTTCCACCGTGAGAGGTGTCTACGCCAACCCGCATACTCTCCTCAATGTCAGTCGCGGACACCTTTTCGCCAAGGCCCACGACAAATTTCGCAAACTCACGGATCTTGATGACGTACCTGAAGCTTTTGGAGAGCTTGGAAGGCCAACTTAGCTTGGTTTCCAATCCATTTGGGTCATTGTGCCCCCCCCAGCCATATAGTGAGGTCTTCCAATTGCGGGGCGCGCGGCTCTCACAGGCCCAAACAAAAAACCACGAAGGTCGGGACCCGGTGAACAATGTGTGTTCGTATGTCTGCAGGATGTCTAACGTCCGGAAAATTCCCATACCGCATGGTGATCTTTCAGACAGCTGCTCGGCTTCGTTCCAGTTATCTAGTGGTCTTTCTGCGCACTGCCTTCAAATTCTTAATTTTCCTTGACAGCCACGCTTTCTCTTTGAAGTCCGCCAAGCTGCTTGGTGTCATCTGTCCCAGGGTCAATAATCTTTGTCACCCTGGCCACTTGCAGCGCTTGCTCCTTGCACCATCTCACTTCAGGGGAGCTGGTGCAGTGTGCGGCACCTCTTGAGTCATGATAGATTACTTTTTGCCAGCCGCCTGCGCTTGACATGTAAACTTCAACTGGACGATGGTCATAGTTTACCGTCGGGAGCGCTGCAACCAGATCTGAAAATGTCTTCTACTGTCAGCTTCCCTCCAACCCAATCACAATCGCTTTTTCCCAATTCCAATCAGTGTGTCCCATCTCCTGCTTCATCATCTGCTTGTCGCCTTCTAAATCCCACTGGCTCGGAGGGGACAGGCCGGTGTCAGACTCCTCAAGGTCGGATTGATCAAGAACACACGGCCGCCCCTTCGAAGGCAGAACGCGGCATAAGCAGAACATTCCAAAGTTTGCAGGGCAAGTATGCTGCCTGATCATGCAGCTTTTGATACGGTCAGCCGTTGAGATCGAACCCTATCATATCATCATGTCATGCACTGAAAGACCAAGGTTTGCTCGGAATCACACAACCAGACCAAGACAAAGAAGGCTCCTTGACCCCGATGAGCTTGTTGATCTTGCTGATGTACTCTTTGGCTTCTTTCCTTCGCACAAGTTCACATGCACAGCACATACTACGCATGGGAAGTAAGAGGCCCCACTCACGTAGAAGCAAACCAAACTAGAAAAGTCCCTTCTGAAGCAGCTTCGCGACTCTGCGGTCTTGATGGGTCCCACATATGGTCCAACACCTTTAGGCAGGTGTTGCTTGCTGTTCTGATCCCCTCAGCTCTTGCTTTGCAGCCACTCAGTCTCAATGACTGGCCCACCAAGGATTTCTGTCAGTGAGTGGCTTCGCAGACTGATGACTTGAGCCTAGCACTCCCTTCCCTCATGCTCCTCGCCAAGCAATCATTGAGTCCTACATCAACCTGGACTCAACACTCAGGGCCCTGCCGTAGGTGCGCATGATGATGACATCGTCTTCGTCCAAGGCTTGTGTTGTAGGCTCATCCTCATCCTGTCTCCACATGCAACCAGGATCTGTTACAGGAGGTTGCGTAGCCCGTCGAACGCACAAACACATGAGTCGCAAAGAACTTTCCAAACAAAGCTGTGAGATGCATGTTCGGTATGGCTGTTTCCTTGCCGCGAATGTCGGCGAATGTTTGCAGGTTTACAGCGCAAGGAAAACGTCACAAGCCCTTACGCCAGTACTTGGCTCTCTTGTTGCGGCAGATGCAGACAATGCAAGGGTCTGCGTGTGCGATCCTCAATGCCTTTGTTCCCCTGCTTGTTAGCCATTTGGTTGTCCTTGGGAGCTTGCGGGTGCGGCCCTCTTCTGCTAACCTGCTCTGCATATGGCACCAGGCACACCATGCAATCACCTGAGTCCTGGACTAAAGAATCTTGCGGCATGGCTGCGAATTGAAGGGGTGAACACTACAAAACCTATCAGCTGTTGACCTGCGGAGAATTTGAGCCGGCATATCAACAAGGGAGATGATTTGATGTGATGCGTCTCCGCCTGCAGCAAATGCGCTGGCTAACGGCTAACTGTCAAGTTGCACGTTTCTTCACGGTCACCTGGCACAATCCTGCACTGGACGACGTTCACACAGCAAAGGCTATCAAATCGAAGACTCAGCAGAGTGGATAGACCATGATGGACCCGTCTTCTGCTGCTCGACTTATCGATCTGCAGCACGCGGAACACAATAGATTCAATCGCCAGGGTTGAGGCCAAGAGTGCATAGGACGTTCTTGACGCCCCTCTTCTGCAAGGTCCTTGCCAGCTGGCGTGCTGCTTTGAATTGAGGGCTTCCCTGCAAACGTCACCCTCCACAGGAAGCCCCAATCCATAATTCTGAGAGATCTCCTATTGCAAATGAACGAATGTGCTACAGAACAGCAACTGGACGCCCGTCCTGGCGGCGGCTACCTCAGCGTGCACTTGTGGCAGCCCTCTTCTACTGGCTCGAACCATGTCCAACAATCAATAATACTACTCTTTCACATGAAGACGATGTTGACGCCAACCGCATCCAGACTCTTGTATGGTCTTGACTCTGGTCATAAGGCCGCGACAACTTTTGCTTCTGAGTCCTTGGTTGCCAATCCGGGCATTTCGGCACAGCCTGTGCTGAATCGTAAGGAGCATGTTTCACGTGGGCGGTTGCGTCGGCAAACGTTACTCCACGACTGGCAGTACTTTCACGGTACTCTGCGTCGAAAGGTTGTCAAGTACAAAACATGAAGCTTCCAATGAATTTGCTGTTGGAGATGTTGTCCTGCGCTCAGTGAGCGCGACACGTCGCTCGGGACAATACGAGCACTACGCCAATGGGCCATGAACTGGCCACCTCGGGTAGAGGGCTGTAACAAAAATGCTGGGCCAATCCATGCTTGGCGAACCTCGCTGAAAGCGCATGTCTTCAGTTAATTGAAAGTTGAAATGTTACGGTCCCTGCTGTCGTGATGTCTAATGTATCCGTAACAATGAAACAACTTAAACTGCCTGCGAGGCCGCATGTGACTAAGACCAGAGATGGATAGTTCGAGGTCAGCCGACCATGCAACCGAGGTTCTGTTGGCATCCCGGTGAGCCTCTCAAGTTCGGTCCTCAGCTCCGAGATTGCAAAAGCCTCATGCGCCGGGTACTGCCCCATCACCCGAATTTCGCGCTTGAATTTGCGAAACGGTGCAACAGCTGGGCAGCGGGCTCATTTGGGCAAATGTAGGCGAGCCTGCAGTTCCATTGCGCAAGTCTCCACTTCACCATAGCCCTTTGCATGCTCCAATAGATGGAACCCTGGGTGTCGTTGCTTTAGGGGGATGTTAAACTCTGCTGTCCCCGTAGGCTTGGCGTCAAAGCTGAGCTGACCACCGGCGGAGATGCCTCAATTTGGGACAAGCAGTCATCATCAACATCCCATGCAATCTTTCAGGATCTGTGAGTAGGCCAACAGCTACCAGCAAAGTCTCGCGGCATCATTATCCAAATGCAGGCAAGAACTGCTCTCGAAAAGACATTTTGCATGACTTGATCGCTTGGCCCGGTGCTCATCTGAGAACTCCCTCTCCTCTCCGCCGACATCCTGAATTACGGGCACCTCAAAACGACTTGAACGTGATGTTTAGTCCAGGCTGTTTTTCAACACGCATGTCTCTGCACGACATCCTGGTCCATGGCAAGTTCCTGACATCAGTCTAGAACCTAAAGCAGAAGGTAACTGGGTCATGAACGCCTGCAGCATGGGCAACTTTGGCCACTGCCTTGCAATCATGTCTGCTCAAGCGCCGCCAAGCAAGCTTCCAACAGCCATCTCTCAAGTTTGCAGTCACAGTCCGGGACAAGCCTCATTGACATACTTTGGGATCTCCTGTTGGAGTAGGACGGCGCTTGCGCCCTGTATCTGCCTCACCAGGGCTGCCATGAGTTTGGAGAGAACCAATAGCTGGCTGGCCTCCCATCCCAGCACCCCACATTTTCAAAACTAGCCACCAGTGATCTCGTCAAACTGCAATTGCTCCCCAGGCCTCTCGAAGTCTGTGACTTCTGCAGGCCACGCCACATTAGAACCGCCGACGATGAGAATGGAGTTGGAACCTTCAAGACATCCAGAGAGGGTACGACTACCAAACTCAGGTGTTTTGGGCCTTGTGGAGGCCACAGGCACTTCCAACCCATGTGTCATTCAGATTTGGCGGCACCCCTACATGGGGTCCCACAATGGAACATATATCGCTATCCGCCCTCCTGAGGCGTCAGCCGTCAGCCTCGAGAAAAATGAAGGCTTGCCCAGACCTCGCGATAAACACTCGCCAGCGATCCCCTGATAGCAAAAGGCCCCACCGCCCCAGTATTAGATGTTCCTCACACAACAGAATATACCATAATGTGAGCATTTCGTATTATGCGGGTGGGGGGTTGCAATACACTAAGTCTAATATAAAGGGGAGTGGATTGAAAGAAGGTACTTAAAGCTGCACATAAAGTTAAAGTTTTATTGGGTTGTACAGGGTTTATATCCTCATCCAACTGCCTTGGAAGCCCACGAAATTGAAACTCCCACTTCTTCCCTTCCATCGGTTTCTAGGGGAGCGGCGGCTTTTGCGCCCTGCCACAGCCACTGAGGTCCAGCTTGTTGTCCTTAGACTTTGCCCCCCAAAACGGATCAAGTTTTCTGTAAGGGGCAGTTGAGACCTGCCGTCATGCTGGTGCGTGGTGAAGGTAGTGAATCCGGGCAGCCAAGGCGCCGCTAGAACTTGCTCCAGTTTAACGGCATGGGAATCCTGCAGCCACATGAAGTCTGGGCTGGCACTGGTGCACGAAAAGCGGACCAAGCACAAAAACACAAACAACAAAATTGAAGTTACTAAGGTTCTTCGGAAATGGGAATCTGAGTCCAGAGCGTTCCCAAACTGGCAAATGAACTGCGCCTATTGCATGTGGGCGTGACAGTTTTTCTCTCAGCACGCATCTTTGCTGGTTGTTGTAGGATAAGGCGACGCGCATCTTCCACGAACGCGGATTGAGATCAGCATGATATATCAGCAAGAAAGTACTCCCCGCTTCAACAGCTCAGCTCTCATCTTCCAGCCTTCCTTGGGGTGCCGGCCGAAAGCCGGGAAGCTGCCACTGCCTGGTTGGCGCCTCGACGCCGAGTCTCCAAGACATGAAGAATAGACATCTGGCATGATGGCCTTTCCCGCCAGGCACCATAACACCAGTGTCTTCACCTGCCACCCAGGACCATGCAACTACATGAGCCTCAAGGCACACGTACCTGCCACTGTGGCCCTGGCTACGGGCCCCTAGGGTCTCGCCCTTTTTCGGGAACCGACTAATCCTGAGGTGCTCGCGACACAACATTGATCATCTGCAAGCGGCCTCTCCTTACTGTTCAGCCCGAGCTGGCCGAACGCACACAGCATGGACTGAGGTTCGCCAAGGGATGCACTCTATGATGATGTCCGCATTCAGGGAACCACAAACCTCAAGCACAAATTTGCGCATAAACAAGTGCTCAGGTGCTCTCTCTCCTGTTGTCTAGAGCAGGCGTGTAAAACACTTCCGCGCATCAGATCCATTTTCCATGGCGGTCATAGTTCGGGAGTCCATTCCTCCCTTGGTGGGCCCAGGCAGCCGAGACCATTGCTGAAGCCTCTCAGGGCGAAAGAAGCGAAGAACATGAGAGGAGTAGTGGCAGGTCATTTCTTTCTATTTTGGGGCTTACTTTGACTAAGACCATTCTGACTCTTGAAAAGTTGATGCATGCTGTCAAGTGGTGTCCCGGTTGGCTTCAGACTGCGACGCTTGGACTACAAGCTGGCTGGTCTTGCAGTTCACAAATGCATCCGCGCCCTGAATCATGTGCAAGCTGCTTTCATGTTTCGTGTCTGCAAGTGAGAAACCGTCTGGCAACTTGAACAGGAACTTCAACCGAAAAGCATCATTCCCGTTGAGATAGTACCTCAGCACCGCCAACAAACATTGACAAGACTGCTGTCTGGATCTCGTAGGCTCAGGGGAGTGCAACTTGACAGCGCGAGGAATTGTACTTTGCGCCAAGGCTCTTGTGCAAGCGCTTCTCCTTCACAAAGCCCATACTTCCTGGATCTCCGACATGTCAAGTGCCCGTTTCATAGTTGGCAGGAGTCGATGCTTGATGTTAGACCGACTATGCCTCTTCCTGCACACAGCTTAGAGACTCTCTTCAAGCAAGCTTCGGTACAGGCCCAGCGCGCCAAGGTTTGTCACTTCCTGGCAAGGACGCAATTGGAATCTGCTGCTGCCAGATTCCCCTTGGCCCCCGTTGAAAGGCGTCCAGAGGTTCCTACAGATCTCCATTGTAGAGCCCCCACTTCCCCCACCCAGAGCCTGCACATCTGCAGACTTAGCGCCTACCACAGCAAGATCCAACAACTGCCCATTGAAATCCCCGACCCCCCTCGTGTCTCCCCTTGCCAAGGGCCCCATAGCCTGAAGCATCTGTTGTGCAAACGGACATTGGTCCTGCTGCTGTCCACTGCGATCATTTTACTAGTGTCCTGACCGCTGCTTCATTGGCCCTGGCGCGTACAGGCAGGCCAAGGCTGACGGCGCGCAGCGACTACAGTTCAATCTCACTCGTTCTGGCCATCCAGTGAGGAAATTGGTAGGCATCACACTTAGAGCAAGTGCAGCTACCCAAAGTCACGTCATCTCCACATCACAAAGCCACGGCACTGTCTCCAGAACGCACTCGTCTGCGCCCAGCTGCCTGCATGTGCGACGATGGCATCTTTGCATGAAACTGCTTCGTTGCAAGCCTCGACCGAATCTAGCATGTGCCCTGCGCAGTCTTCCGGAATTTGTATATCTAAAGTGCCGTCAGCACACTGCATCCGGTCCAAGCATAGCTTGACGAGTTTGGAGCCGATGCGTCGGCCCCGCAGCTCCTTCTCTACCGCGAGCATTGCAATGTAGCCTCGCATTGCAGATGATAGCAGGAGATGCCCATGTTTTCTTTCGTTTTGCTCTAGTATAGCACTGCACGCATTGATCCGAAATTTCGCATTTGGCCGTGTGCCGTGATGCCCTTTGCCTCAGTAGCTTTTTTCACCTCTGTTTACTGACATCCATCCCCACTTGCGGTGGGTGCCGCCGGAGCCTTACACCAAAAGTCTTACCATCCCAGAAGACCTATAAATTCCCAAGCGGAGCTCCGCGGTTCCTGTGCCAACACAGAAGCATCTACAATTGGCGTGGCACACCCCAAGCAAGGTGCCTTGAGCATGTCATTTCAAGCAATTTAGAGGGATTCAACGGGTCTGTAAAAGTGTCTGTGCCCCACCTCGGTTGGTCCGCCGGCACCGATGGACATCCAGCTTGCAAATAATGGCCCCCACACATCGGTCCCCTTGCATGGTCATGTAGCAGAGGTCCGGCCAGTTGTTGATGAAGTAGCGGTACGTGAACACTGAATACGGCTCTGACAGGTCCTTGTCAATCAGGCTCACAATGCCAGGCATGTCGCGCTCATCCCGGTACTGCTCGAATCGTATGTCGTCAGCCGGACTAGCGACCTCCGCCTCTGCCTGGCTGGGGTAAGCCATGGCATGTACAGGCTACGCTACAAACACGGGCCATGCGAGCCCATGCTTTGCGTAGACCGAACAGATGTCATTCCTGGTCATTCCAACATGCACCCAGGAGCGGCACTTGAAGTATCTTCTAAAAACCCTGCGTGCGCAACTTCTGCTATCACAAGCGCTGTCAGAATCATGGGAACACTTGAGATCTGTTTCCTGGCTCCAGGCTAGAAGTGGTCTCGCGTTCTCCTCGCACTTGGCGGCCTTGCGGCCTGCATGGCAGTGCTCTCTTTGCCATGAAACACTGCCCCGCCCAGTTGAAATGCAGCAAACACTGAGTGCTTTGGCAAGTTGTGTCACAAACCAAACCGCGACTCGAGCAAACTCCTTCTGAAGCTATAGTCATATCTTGTGCTGACCAGCGAAAACCGCACAGCACTGCGCAACAGTCGCCATTAAGTGCTATCCAGCCTGAAAGCGTGATGGCCACCTCAGAAGGCCAAACTCAACAACGATTCCAGGTCCCAGACATTTCAAAGCACTTGCGGTTTGGAACCTGTGGGTTATGTGCATCTGACGTATGCACTATACGAGTACAGGGGCCTTTCTGTGCATTCTCTGAGATGAGTGATCAGTGATGATGGGGATGATAATGACAAAGTTGATAGCCCTCATTCGAACATGCAAAAGGCATCCCTTTGCTGTTGACACAGTCAGCAGGAACGGCAACTGCCAAGTTTTTGGCTCTGGCCCCCATAAGTCAGAAAAAGAGCAAACGACTTGATTCACGTGCAAACAACATGCATTCAGACTTGCATCTTGAGACCGCGCCCAAGAAAATGTTATATTTATATTCATATCCTACGCCAGCCATACGACACCGTAACCGCCGGCACACGCTACTCGAGACCGTGGCCACTCACAAGCCCTTCTTCGGACCAACTCCCCAAACCTCTAACCCATCCTAACCCTGTCGGGCCCCAACTGCTGCTGCTGCAGCTGCTGCCCAAGGCCAGAGCCGTCCACCTCTAGTTATTTACTTCGTTTCATCGGTGACCCGGTGGTGCAAAAGTTGCTGTGGGAAAGGAAGGGGACTAAGAAATGCATGAACAAGGAGGCTTCCGCCCAACTCTTGTCGAAGGAGGATGCGTCAAGGATCGTCCGCTCTGGCTAGTGTAGGCTTCTAGGACCTGTGACTGTGGGATCCGATAAGATCTTTATTGCCGCGCTCGGGCATTGGAGATGGGCGCGATGCAAAACCTGATAACTTGCGTCGGGACATTCATTTTGACGGTGCCCAATCTGTTTACAGTGCCGAAAATCTACAACTTGACAACGAACTCTCCGGCAGCCTGTCACCATAGTGACCCTAAGCGCCCTTGCTCAAAACGTCTACTGTAGGCTTTGCAAATCTTGGATGTATGACATTTCGGGAACGAAGCATGGCGACATAAAGGAACCCCGTCGGCCACCAGCTGTTGGCTATCTAGTGGCGACTAGCAAGTTTCTCGGAATCATGGAGGCTGTCATAGCACTGCTGCACAATATCATACATTGCCATGGAATGAGAGGAGTTTGTTCTTGTGTCTTTTTGTTTTTACTTTTCTTGTTTTTTTGGGCTGGGGGCCTGGAATCAACGGACTCCTCACATGAGAGCGTGATTCTGAAACAAAAATTGTGAAGACGGACGAAACATCATGAACAATCATAAAAGATGATAGAAAATCATGGAAGTCATAAATAATGATAGCAGAAACAAAAATTGTCAAGACGGACGAAGCATCATGAAAAATCATAAAAGATTATAGAAAATCATGGAAGTCACAAAATAATGATAGCACGTAACGAAAACTTAGGAAATGATTCAAAACTATGCAAAAATATGGAAATTGACAGAAAGTTGAAACATGAAGAACATGATATAGACAAAATGCTGAGCATTCTGAAAAATCAGAAAATAGTAGACAATGACAAAATATGAAAAATCATGAAAATTGATAGCAAAATAATTGAAAACGGTGGGAAATAATGAAAACCCATGAAATGACGAAGCATGATAAACTTGATAGAAAATGATGAGCAAATATGAAAAGTGATGAGACATGATGAATGTGAAGAACGCGATGAACGAGAAATGATGACGCATGATACAACACTGCCTGCTTTTTCCCAGCGCTCTGTGAGGGTCCAAGAGGCCTCCAAGGCTGCTTCAGGCAGCTGCCTGATTGCGCTTGCTTGCCACTGGTTCGCACCCCATGCCTCCTTGGCCACCTGCAGGAGTGTGGCCACCGATGGCCGCTGCGTACCTCTTCTCTCCTCTTCGCGCTGCCGCTGTTCTTGCTGCTGCTGGCCTCGGTGATTGGTATGCTGGATGCTGCTGTGGACGTGCTGCTGCTCTTGCAGGGTGACCTGGCTGATGGTCTTGGCGCTGCTCCAAGCCTCCGTCCAGTGCTCTTTGATGGCCTTGGTCGCGTCCTTCCGCGTAAACGCTTGCTTGCCCTTGTGGTTGATGACAGGGACCAGGTCATTGTCTGTTCTGCGCAGCCAGGCATTCCTGGCCTTGTAGTCAGTCTGGATGCTGTGGCGCCAGTTGCTGATGCGCTCGGCCTTGAGCTGCTTGCGGTATTCCCCTTCCTCCTCTTCGAGCTGCTTAACCAGGTGCTCCAGGCGGCTGCAGGAGGTGTCACCAAGCTTTTTACTGAGCCTCTTGCCCTCCGCGGTTTGTGCGAAGTTGCTGTTGAACTTTGCTTCTTCAGGAAGGTGAGAGCCCCCCATGGTCCATGGTATTGTGCCCGCTTGCAACTGGCCATGCTACCGGGATCAAGGCTCCTTCTTTTGGGAACGACCATGACTTGGGCCGCCTGCCCTTTGCCTGCGGTTGCTTGCTGAGCGTGAGCTTGCTTGTCCTGGGACAGTGCTTGTCCAGAACTTTTAAACATGCCGTTGAGGGCAGCGCTATAGAGTTGCCACTCTTCATCCACGCTGACGTCACTGCTACTGCTACTGCCAGGGACTTGCGTCGAGTCGTCTCGAAGAGACGTATCGATGGCAGTCCACACCTTGGGAGCGACGACGGCCAGGCTGCCGCTGTTTGCTAGAGCTTTGCCGGCTGGTGCTGCTTTGAAGGTGTTGGTGTTGCTGGTGATGCCGATGCTGGGGATGTTGGCTGGGGCCAGGGTGCGGCTCAATGTTTTCCTGCACGAGAATGCGGTACTTTCTCTCTTTGTATTGCTTGGTGTCTTTCCAGGTGGTGAGTGCTAACTTGCGTTGGTGGGGTGTGTCTTCCTCCTCTCCTCTGCTGCTTCTGCTTCTGCTGCTGTCTGCGGTGCTCTCTCCTCTGCTACGCGTACATGCTTGTGGCCCAGGGCACGGCTCTATGCCTTGCATCACGAAGTGCAGGAACTTTTGGTCCGCTTCCGCCTTTGTGAGCCCCCTGGCTTTGAACATAAGCTCCCTGTTGGTGGGGTCTAGTGGTGGCACGCTGGGTTTTGCGATAACGCGGCCACTTGCTCCAGTCAGGGTTGATTTCGACCAGTTGGTGCTTGGCGATGTTAAGGCTGCCCCTGGTCGCACACCGTTGCTTTGTTTTCTTGCTGAGGCTTTGCTTGCCTTTGTAGGTAGCGGGCTGGCTGTGCTTGTCTTGCTGGTACTGCTTGGCACGAGCAGTGTCGATGAGTGCGATGGTGATTTTTCGCCTATTGTGCTTGGTAGAATAGTTGTCTGCTAACTGTAACCGTGCGGGAAAGTCTGGGAAGGTGGGCTGGCTTGTCTCTGGGGCAGAATGGGCAAGACCAGTCCACCTGATCCGCGGGCAGCTGCTGTGTCTTCATCGCTGTATGCGGCCTCATTTGATGTAAGGGACGTCGTTGTGTCTGCACTTCATGTGGTTGCCGCGTCTCCAGGCCAGCATTTTGCGGTGCGTACCCTCGATTTTGAGGCCACAAAGGTTGCAAAGCCAGAGGTACTTGCCGTCCTCTTGCCATACTTTGGCTACTTTGGCGTTGCCGCCCATCTGTCTACCTGTAGCTTCGCTTACTGGCTTGTTGGTGCCTGCCTTGCTCTTGCAGGGCTGCTGGGCAGTCTTAGGATTTCGGGTGCTGCTGCTGCTGCTGCTACTGCGTGCGGCCGCAGGTGTGTTTGGGGTGGTCATTCCCCATCTGTGTTGTCAGCCGCGTGGTGTCTTGCATTGCTTGCTGCCGCTGGCTGGTGTGGTGGCCTCCTTGGGTGTGTCAGGGGTGGTGCTCTTCCGTCTGTGCTGTGCGCATCGTGGTGTCTTGCAAGGAGTAGCGGCCGGTATGTGAGGGGAGTAGCCTCTCCCCATCAACTGATCATTACACACTACTATGACTACTACTACTACTACTACTGCTACTACTACTACTACTTCTTCTTCAGGAAGGTACAGAACGCAAGAAACCACGGAGTCAGAAATCGAAGAAGCTTCAAAGCCCAGAAACCAAAAAAGCAAGAAGCCAAAAAGCCAAGAAGCCAACAAAAACCAAGCAGCCAACAGAAAGAAGGCAACAGTCAGGCAAGTGATGAAATGATGGAAAATGATGAAGCCAGGGCCACCCGAAAAAAAAGTCTCGAAAATCCAAAAAAATAGGCACTCCCCATGGAATGCCACCTCCTTACGGCGGAACCTTTTTAATTTCGCCACGAGCGGGCACATCTGGTATTAAATCCCGGACACGAGAACCATGAAGGTGCCACATATTCCCTGCTGGCCGCTTTGGCATGTGGAGCCCTAGCTTGTGCAGTTGGGGTGCGGGCTCTCTCACAGCATAAAGAAATTCCAATTACCATTAGCTGTATCCACTAACTAACTGGCAACAACTGGGACATGAGACTTGCATCTTCTGACAAGGCTTTCGCACATGCCCAGACTTTACCACAAGCCGTGCGCTCGCGGAAGGCACGTGGTTCGTCGATATTGCTTCCCGGTTTCCGGGGGCTGGGCCTGCGCTGAGATCATGAGCCACCTCTGAGGTTGCCTGTCTCGCGCATGCCGAGACCAATGCGGCTGTTAGAGTAAAGCTGCTTCCATTCGGAAGCGAGCTGAGTGAGACAACTCAACGACTTTTGGACAATGATTCATTCGCCCACATCTACGTGCACTGCAAGTTAGCTTTTCGAACAGGAGATTCATTGAGAATCGGTGGCTCTTGAAAGTCCCAGCAGAGCACGCAGATCCGGCACCTGCTGGTTTGCTCTAATCCAAATGCTGTGCCAGGTCACGCCCAAGTGCGCAGCAAATGCTTGCAAAGGCCAAGCTGATCATGCTTTCTGCCTTGCTACCTTCTGGGCACGGAAAGCCAACGACTTGCTGCATGACAGGCCGCAACCTGAATATATTGACGGTTGAAGAGCTGGGCTTCTCTGATCCTCTGGCGCCCCTCAAAAATCTACCTAGCATGACACCAAACCTGACAGCTTTGTGAGAAGCCCATGTGGTCCCCACTGATCAGCATACTCTGTCCGCTCTGTCCTCACTAATGAGCATTTTCGATCTCGTTGGAGGAGCGCGAATTGAAAGAGTGCCTGCAACGCTGCACATCTTCCAAAGCTTCTGGCAAGCATGTGCGCGACTGCTTACGCAGCCTCAGCGTGCGCAGCACGAACCCAGGCCAATTTCTATTGAGCTTGTGCTTGCTCAAACAGCTTGCGAAGGAACTTTACTCGTGTAAAGGTGCTAGCCCTTGCGTGTTCGACCTCTCATGCTTGCTCAGTCTTCTCATATGCCTCTCACCAAAGTTAGCACCAATATGAACGACAAGACAGAGGGATTAGCCCATCAGTGGCGGATCGAAGCCTGCGGGAAGGCCCTGTCGTCGAAACTAGAGCTGGATGTAGGCTTGGCAGCGCGCCTCCTTGCAATCAAAACCAATTGCAAGCTGCTGCGTGGCTACTGATGCATGCTACTCCACTCACATTTATGGACGTATTCACAGTGGGTATGAAGCCAGTCAGCTTGACTATTCCAAGCGCTGAGCTCCTGATACCATGAATTGCAAGCTACTGGTTGATGTGCACAGTTCTTTGTCTGAAATCCTATTCAAGCTAGTCCTGCGGAGTGCGCCACCACAAACTGTGACAAGCCATTCAAGACGTCGTGAACCTTGGAGTCGGTGAGCCGCAGGCGGTGATTAACATGAACTTGAGTCTTTCACTAGAGAAGTTCAAAGTGAGCACGCAGTACCTTCATGCACCTTTCCCCAAACCATTTGGTCGACTATGATGGACAACGTTTAGGGAGATCCCTTGCTGCACAAACGTCTGATCGGGCGGCAGGCCGTACATGAGTACTGGCGAGTGGCAAGCTCATTGCTTGTCTCTCTTTTCGAAATGAGACATGTCTGATATCAGGAGGCAAGGAAGCCCTCAATTTTTTTGGGGGGGGGCCGGCATTACCCAGTTCTGGCAGGATCTGTGGCGGCCTGCTCAAAGCTGGGGCTTGTCCTGCGAGTGACCTGCGAGAATTCGTCGGCTGTGAACTTGCGAAGGTCCACAATGTCCTCCAAGCCATGCAGCTATGTTCTGACTGCCGACTTTTGCCAGACAAGTAGGACGCTAGAGATGTGTTTGCTAGAATTTCATTTGCACTTCGATGGCTTTTGGGCTTGTTGCAGGCTTGGCTCAAGGCCTGGGGGCTGCACACCCACCCCATTTTCTTGTCAAGTTAGCAGAACAAAAACCTGACAATGGAATTTCCCGAGGTTTCGAGATTTGGAGGTTTCCAGCATTCGAGATAACGAGATCTGGATGTTGGGAGTTTATGAGGTTTCGACGTTTCGAGGGCGGTTTCGAGGCCTGGCGTTTGCGGCAGATCCATTGTCAGATCTGATCTCCAAGCTTGGAGAGCCAACCGATGGGGTGAAAGTTGGAGTTCCGCAGAGATGGTCCCCGCGGCAAGGCAAGCATACATCGAAGTAGAATCTTCTTTGCAGCACTTCATGAAGCAAGGTCACTTTGTGGTTAAGCACTTCTTTCTGGGACTCCTACAGCTTCACACCCATACAGCAGGCAAGTTCTGAGAAAGTCCTTGACGGTTGTCTGGTTGGAGCCTCGAAGAGTTAGAATGCCGCGCATGAACTCCCCAAATGTCAGCGGCATGCCGTCTTCGAACAACAGCTTACCTGAGTTGCGGGATTCAGCGTGGCGGCGACTCTCTTAATCAGCGGAAGCTCAAAGTGCCACAGTCGAACACCGGTGTCCATTTCCAGGAGTAGTTCCTTAAGCATTAGCCTCCTTCTGCTTGGGAGCCATAATCCAAAGCTGCCTCAACATCCACTCCCAAGCTGGTCAGGGCAGTGACAGCCTTGGACAGCATGCAAAGGACAAGCACGGCAAGTAACGGATCGAATTGCAAAGACATGATAGTGAGCCATCTTGACATGTTCACACTGAACTGAGATCCAGGCCTCTGGCTTGCGTAAAACATTCCTTGGGAAGAGCATTGCGTAAATCCCTGGCTGCAGCTCTCAGTGGTCCCTCTGCGCACCTGTATGTGTGCCTCCAAAGCTGTCTAGCTTAGAGCCATCCTGCTGTGTTTTTTTCTGGTCGGTTTCTTGAGTCAAACCTGGCAGTCAGGCGGCATATATTCCTCCTCTGAGATTCTGTTATCTCCATCTGAGTCAGCCTCTCCTGACAAAGCACCACAAGGTTAGTCCGCTCCAGCCGGCAAGTTCTGCAAGTCCCCGCCCCGCTAGAACATGCGTCTCGCTAAACGATGCAGCCCTCCAAGACGAGAGATGCATTTTGCGGGCCTTTTGAGATCATCTCCCAAAGGACACGCTTGGCGAAATCAACCTCAAGTTGCTCGCGCTCGATGGTGGACACTGTCTTGATGGCTTCTACGAGAACTCCTGATGCAGGGCATGAGGAAATGCAGGAAGCAGCGGTAGATTGTCTGCACAGCTTGGCTAGCGCACCTAGCAGCATGTTCATCACAGTGAGCGAGCCCACAAGAATGAAAATCAGAAGTAGAATCGCCATAATCCAGCTCTCCTGCTGCGGAACAGTGGCATGCTTGCACAGTCATCTCACCACAAGGAAATGCTAGTTTGGGATCTAATGTGACTAGCAAATTCTACAGCACGTTTTGGGGTCCAATAATCTCTTGCTCATGAGAGGTGCAGAAGCTGTGGAAGAGGCAAAGCTGTCCTTGCCCACTTCAATTATTAGGCCGGCTTGATCTGTGAGAACAGTGCCCAGGATGAGGGTTTCCACTGACTTACCTGCATCAATCACAAACTTCTTTGGGGTCTTCTGGCCAAACCCCGTCGGTGGCAGCTGCGATGCTGCAAGCAAGTCTGTATGGTACGGTAGACATCTGCCCCAAACTTTCGGTTTTTTTTTGCGTATTTGACTGCGTCTGATTGCATGCGAGCTGCCCATGGAGCTGAACACGCCAGTCGGTCCGCTTGGCGACGCTAGAGGCGTGCCCCGGCTAAACTGCATGAAGGCCACCGCAAATATGTAGGTCACCAGCAGCAGCAAAAGCAGTGTGAAAAACCTTCGCTGTTGCTCATGCTTGAGAGTCTGTCTTGCCGTCTAGGACTGAGCTCCCGCTTGAGTGACCTACTGTCAGATTATTATGGGACACGCGACTCCCTCTTCATTTCTGTGGAGCAATGTTGTTCCTGTTCCCTGCACCCCTTCAGCCACTTTTCACTCATCAAGCCTTCGCACCGAAGAAGCGGCTAAAGAACCGAGCGCATGCTGAATGATCTATAAATACAAGTCCAAGAAACACTGAACGAAAGGCCACCATCATCCCTTTCACCAAGATCATCAGCTCTGGCATTAGGCGCACTAAGCGGGCCATCCGAGCCGTTCGTAGCACGCGCATGACCCGTGCGACTCGGAGAACGGACAGCCCTCCAGTAGATGCGCCAGCTGAGCTCGTAGAGAAAACGTGCACCAGCGGCATGATCCAAGTCTCCACGATCATCAGGATCACTAGGAACAGGTCGAACAGAAACCACATGTCTTTCATCGCGTAGATCTTGCGAGTGTATATCATAAATCGGAGCAGAAGCTCGCCAGTGAAGAAGAAACAAAAGAAGTTCTCAGCCAAAATGAAACTCACGTCGGCTTCCGCAAGAACGTCAGCTTCATTCATCTCTATGTCGATGCCAATCCATATCGCATTGAGCAGGATCACCGCCATTGTGATGCGCTCAAACCACGGATGTGTCGCTATACTTGCAAGCACTCCCTCCTTTCAGCATTGCATCAAGGCATCAGTGATTCTTGAAAGGTGTGGTTGAGAATAGAAGTTAAAGGGAAGCAACTGTTGTCTCATAGCTGTTAGGCGTTAAGCTATTGGACTGAGAGAAATGAAGTAGTCCCCTGAAACAAATGCCCACACAGTCCCTGTCACCCGCTGCCATGAATCAACAAAGATATGAGGGCGTGGACCAGAAGAGCCCTGCAACACTTTATGAAGCCCAAATCCTCGTGAAAAACCTCTATGGGACGCTGTTCGAACTCTTTCACGGCACGGTTTCGCACGTTCTCTTTGGCAACATCAGCGTTGAGCTGTGCGAGCCTGTGCTGTCTGCATGATGTTGGAGCAAATTAGGAAATTACCATTCCAAATCCCAATCGCTGCTTGAATTCTTGATCTTGCAAAGGGGCATGCCGTTTTGCAGTGCGTCATCGGCATCCTTTCGGGCCTTTTGCTTCTAATCCCAGCCTATCTGGGCAATGTCCGGCTCATCAAATATCTGCTCTTCCTCGTCAGAAGCTGCCCACAGATTTGAAAAAACAAGTGCGTGATCGCCGCAGAGCAATGCAACCTAGTCTAGCCATGCCTAGCTGTCTCTGAGTACTGCTGCCTGCTCTTCGCAGCTCCCGCCGCAAGCTCATCTACACTTGGGCTGATCATCGCTCAGCGCCAGGCGGAAGATTGCAGGTTTTCGCACGTGACTGACTTGTGGATCCTCATTATTGCGGGTTGCGAGCAACACGGCTGTAAAGCAAGCAATGCACATCCTGCAAGAAGGATCTGCTTGACCAAGGGGGATACTAGAATTAGATTAAGCAATGGCAAAACTCGCTTAAGCCGCTGCATCTTGACAACAATTCTTGCAGGAGGTCTGGCCCAAGAGGACGACATCCTACTGTGATTCATCATGTGCAGTTCAGGCTCCATGACATTCGCCGCTTTCGCTGCTTCACTGCGCTCGAAGGCAGGGAAATCGACAACAAGCCAGGGCCTGTTCTCAAGGGGTCTGCAACAAAAAGAAGAAATAAAGGAACGCCTCTGCTTTGAATCGATGAACGCGCATGCATGAGAAATCAACCGGGTCTGGATTTATTACAAAGCACTTTGGCAACCGCTTGTGCTTGGAGGCTTTGGAAGGAGGTTTGTTTGACAAACTTAGCTTGTGCAGCTGTCTAAACACTTCACGCAGCCCACTCGGCCTTTAGTTTCTGGCGTTTTCTTGAAGTCATCGGGCTGCGGTGGACCCAGTGCCCCTGGCAGCCGAAGCCTCTGGGACAACATGGCCCATTGAGAGGTGGCGAGAAAGATAAGCACAACTCAAAAAGGTCATGCACGACAGCAAAATGACGAGCATGACAGCCTGCGCACGCGGGCTCGTCAGAATGCCAACTAGTTAGGCAACATATGAGCACGGCATTGCGCTTGAACTAGGTACTAGTAGGAGCGGCTACACAGTGACATGCAAGCACAAAGCAAAAACAAAAAGACCCAAACACAAGCTGTCCAACAAAACGCGCCAACCAACCTTCAACTCAAAACTGCCTGCTGCTACTCACAACTTCAAATATCATTTGGAACATGAGTCTGACTTTTACTTCTACGTTGCTGCCTCCCCTGCTCCACCCCTTCCTGCTACAAGTACAACAACGATGATTACTGAGTATTTACGCTATTCATGGCGGGGCTCACCTATATATATATATATATAATGCATATAGCCTATACATATATATCTGTATATATATATATGGCTGGGGATTCTCCGAAAATTAGGAGAACCTTGTTGGAGGTCCCAGTAACGAGGAGTACAGCATTTTTGGGTCGATATCGCGGTCCCCCCCAGTTTTGGAAACTACCCAAATAATCCTTAATCACACCAGTTTCAATTCCATTTTCCATTTGCTTCTCCATATACAAATCCTACAGTCAGTCCTTATGCATCCCTACATAATTCTTACAAAATGCCCTGCATCTAACTAATTTTATTGTAGTGAATACTTTCTTGTTCGCACGCTCTCCGCCAGGCCTAAAGTCCTTTGAGGTGCTCGGATCTGACTTGCGCCCCGCAGCATGCTTCGCTCGGTCGGGTATAGACCTCATCACTGATCCTGATCATAACACCTTTACGTTGCAACAGGTAGAAATGAAAACGGTAGCAATTTGTTGCACGAGACGAAATAGAGAATCTGCCCCTGTAGAAATGCTCCTCTGCCTGGGCAAAAAACGTTGAAACAACAAACGAACGCCCTGTTGGCCACCCTCCGAATTTGACCCGCAAACGCTACAAAGAGTGCTTATACACTGCTGCAGTTTCTAAGCGCTGAGCCTCCTCAATCCTAAACCGTTGTGCCTTGCAAGATGAATTGTTGCCCAAGTGCCCAGAGCGCTCCGAAAAGGTCGCTGCTGCTGCTGTGGCCATGGAGTTCGTGAGCGACAGGGTTTGGAGGCGCTTTACCTTCTCCAGCTCACCTTTGATGTTGCAACAAAGCAGCGCTATTTTGGAATTCAGTCGCTGCAAACCTGCGGCCGAAAGAACATGCGGAAAGTGCTGCAGCTCTGCATGCCACGTGGCTTTCCAGCAGTTGCAGAGTGTGCTTATGACTGGCCACCAGCTTGTTCTTGAAAGCCGTGAGACCTGGAATTTTCATTCCGGGCCCTCACCTTGAAGAGAATGGTTCTCAGCCCTGTTTCGCGACAATCAAACTGGGAACGCATGATTTTGAGGACCCGCGGCCTTCCAAAACGCGATTGGTCTCTTGTACGGCTCGGTTGGACCTTTTGGAGCTCCCGCGGCTCAGCAAACCTGAGCGACCAGAGCCCCGGGAGGAGCTGCGGCTGCGCAGATTGCGGCTCAGAGAGTCCTTCGTTGAATGCACAGTGTCCGGCATAGAGTTTTTCTCACCTCTGCAGAATAACTTAACGAATAACAGGCTCTCTTTAAAGTTGAGCCGGCCCAGCCCTTCAGCCAAGTCTCTGGGCAGGTTGCAGGCTGATCAGGCTGAGTGATTTTGGCCGGCATGTGGATGTCAGCATCTGCATCGCTGTGGTCTGACAGAAATCCGTTGAGATCCTGAAGGCAGTGTGCTCACTCAGCCGCTAGGCTAGGCACTCTACTGACATGCATTGTTGTGGAGCACGCGAGCAACTTGACTAACAGCTTGATCAGCCTGCTGACAGCACTGCTGACCCTCACCTTTCCTCTCTGTTCACCAAGAACTAAGCAAGAGCTAGTAATTGAAACAGCTGATACTATCACATCAAATGGTGAACTGCGTCAGAAGTTTAGATTCTGCAAGGAGGCCCATGCGCTGTAAATGACGGCAGTCCCATGTACCTCAACGCCTATGTATCTTCAACCCATCTCCTGATTGCGTGGCGCTGCCCAGCCATCTGGATCTAAACCTCTCCGATGAAACTTTCCAAGCAAGGCCCTAGATAATTAGTCTTGGAACGTGCTGGAGTGTAACTTATAACCATACAATTTCATCCGCCTCGCAGTAGCCATGTCAATGTGTTGAGAGGTGGTTGGAAGGTTTTGCAAAGAAATTTGTATAGAGACTCTCAAAAACGTCGAATTCCTATCTCGTTTCTTTCCTTGAGTCCACCATATTCATAACACGGTTGCAGAGGAATCTATGTGAAAGAGTTTGAAGGGAATCAGCGTCTGGTATGGGTCTTGTAATACGAATAAAACAGGAACAAATACGGTATAATTCTTTAAAGCATCGCCACGCTGAATGTTAAATGTTTTGGGCATTCTTACATTAGTGGACAGCGGTATCCAGTTTTGCCTTTTTGACTGTGTTACCGGAAGCTGCACTAAAGCTTCTCAGACTCAACTAGATTTAGACTTTTACAATGTAGGGAATATCTCCCCTGCAGCTGCGAATCAAAATTGCCAGGCTGTACTCACGGTGTCCCCCCCTCGTTGCAAGCCTTTGCCGCAGAAAGTCGTGCGACTAGTAACTAAGTTACACTACAAAAGGCTGTTCTTTTGCAGAAAAGCCCTTCGTAAGAAGCCACAGGCCTATGTCGAGAAATGGTCGACAAAGCCTGATAGAAGCCGTGCGTTTTGACTCACTGCCATCTTGAAGAGACTCAAAGATGAACGCCGTACCCAGCGAGGTGCTCATTTAGAGGTCATTGCTATGTGGCCCGCATGTTGGTATGTAGAAGACCAGAAGACCAAATGAGTGTCAACAAGCAAAATCAGGGGATTGAAAAAAAATGTGCCAACCAACACACCGTGCCTTTCATGGTAGAAAAGTGCGGATTTCGGCGCCCGGGTTCTAGTAGCCGGCGATAGGAGGATCAAAGCAAGACAACAAATGATCAAGAAAATGACCAACATTTTGATAGATGTTGTTGTGAACGTTTGGCGAATGCCAAAAACATGAAACATTATGAAACATCATAAAAGTCATGAAGAATGTTGAGAATCATTAAGAAGACTCAGAATAATGGAAGATGATGGATGCGGAATTGATGAGACATGATGAAGACATGACGGGAATCATCAAAAAAAGAAGAACCCATGAGGGAATATGATGGTGAAGATGATGAAGCATCATGAAAGACTTGAGGCAATTTGAGTAGGCCCGACATTTGCCAAAAAAAACTGGACAAAGATCGGAACATGTACCTTCTTCCGCGGCCTTCAACCTGGTCATGATAAGAAGCAACACTGAGTGGAACACATGCTTCCTCTCCTTCATTCCTGTTTGCCCCTGTCTTCTTTTCCTTATTTCTGTCTTTCTTATTTCCCTGAATGGTTATTTCTATCTTTCCGTCTGGCCTTCCCCCCTTTTTTTTTTTTTTTTTT